ATTGGGATGGGTGTGTCAGAGGCAGTGCGGTTGGCGCAGGATAGAGCAGGGTTTAGGGCTGTTGTGCATAGGGTCGCTATGAGTCGGAAACGACTCCACGGCACATAACAACAACAACAACAACAACATAACATATCTATCTCTATCTCTATCTATCTCTATCTCTCTATCTCTCTCTATCTCTATCTACATCTATCTATCTAAATCTAATATATCTCTCTCTATCTCTATCTCTATCTATCTCATCTCTATCTCATATCTCTCTCTCTCTCTTTCTCTCTGTCTCTCAAACTCAATATGCTATTGGGCTGGAAGAAACGGAGTTGTTTTCAACTCTCCAAAGCAGTTATTCAACCAGTAACTTGATCAGCTGGCATTGTCAAAGGTGACTCATTCTAGTTGTGACTAAATCAGAAGCTAGGAAGATATTAGGGTGGAGACCATCATATTCCAGAAGAACATGTTCTTGGAAAGCTCCTCTCTAGGGATGACCTCTGAACGTTTCACAAGATTCATATTGATCATTTCTTTTACTCATAGCCCTCCAGCAATGACCTATGTTATATTATCAAAGACCATTTCCTTGCTCCTAATGATATGGACATGCTGTCCCCTCCTAGAAAGGTGGGAGGCGAAAACTCTATTCTGTCCCACAAGAAACACAGATGTTAATATTTCCTTCTTCCAGTAGGCATCCTGCTCTGGTTTTAGGGTCATTATTCTAAAATTTAAAAAGTTATGCTGAATCTGTTTCAACCCTAGACAGACTTGTGGCAACAGTCTGCCTTTTTAAATATAAATTAAACAGAGAGAAGCAATAATGTCAGTTTGAAACTAAGCACCTGATTCAGGCCATGGTCTTCTCAATCCCCTGCTATGCATCAGAAAGCTGGACAACAAATAAAGATGACAGAAGAAGAATTGATGCCTTTGAGCTGTGGTGCTGGAGAAGAGTACTGAACATCCCATGAACTGCTATAGAACAGATATGTCTTGGAGAAAATCCAGCCAGTGCGCTCCTTGAAGGCAAAGATGACAAAGCATCCTCTCATACTTAGGCATGTTGTTAGGAGAGGCCGTTCCTTGGAAAGGGACATCATGCTTCAAAAGGTGAAGGGTCAGTGAGAGAGAAGAAGACCCTCAACCAGATGGATTGACACAGTGACTGCTACAATGGCTCAGAACGTCATAAATGATGAGGATGGCACAGGATAGGACAGGGTTCAGATCTGTTGCTCTGAGTTGTACCATAGCACCTGACAAGAGCCATCAGGGAATTTGATTTCTTCTGAAAGTAGAATAAGAAAACCCAATCTACTTGAAAGGAAGAATATGAAACCAATGTGGTTAGAAAGCAGAAAACAAAAACATTCTGGTTAACTGAGATTTGCTTAGTTTCCAGAAGAGAGGAAGGAAATCACGTCAACTTTCCTCTT